GCGGAGCTGTTTCAGATTAGCATTAGCTCCGTGCCACCCGCAGACATCCAAATTCAGGCCATGTGTGTGTGCGCGAGGTCACGAGCCGCACTCCCACTTTCTCTTTCTGAGGCCAGGGGCACAGGCTGCCCAAGAGGTCTCTTCTTCCTCCTCTCATCTCCCTCGCTCTGCCCTCCGCTGAACCTCTGCTCCCTCCTCTGCTCTCGGCAACACGGGGTCAGAGGTTAATGGGGTGGTAATGTGGGACTAAGAGGGAAAATCTCTACGTTGTCCCCCCACCCCTCGCCAACTTCCAGAAACCATTAACATCGCAGTCTCGCAAATACTGTCATCTTTCAGCACGGCTAACTTGGACTTCCTCTCTGTGTCATGTTGTTTTATGACCTCCTCTTCTGCAGACCCATGGGTCTCCTGCTCGCTCTCAAAACTGATGAGAATGTGAAATGGTGGGTATTTATTTCCACCTCAAGTGCTGATCTTTGACCTCTATCGGTCCAGGAAAGACACACACACACACACACACACTCACACACACACACACACCAAACATGTGGTCAGTGTGGCTCTGAAACAATTTTTTATGTATTGATTATTAATCTCTAGTCAGTTTACAAAAATTTTGAAAACTTTGTGCCAGGTGAACTGTCCCCTGCCAATTAAATCCTAAAAGTGTGTGATTTTTGTGTTTTGAGGTGCTGCTATGGCTAACATGTATTTTTTTTGTGATTGACAGCACATTGCTAGGTGGTTGTTAGAGTATTCTGGGTGAGTTATGGGTGGTTACTTACTGGCCCAAGTCAAAAAACTTTATTATCCATGTTAAAATTGTATTTATTAGCAAGTGTACGCTAATTACAGTACTTATAAAAAGGAATTTTATCTGAGAAAGAATATAAATATACTACAGTAAAAAACGTCTCCAGGTTCCGAATGTAACCATGGTTCCCCCGAGGGAACGAAACGCTGCGTCGGAAAACACTTTGGGAATGCCTTCAGTGTGACCACGCTCTGAATCACATGTAAAATCAGTCCAATGGAAGGGCGAGACGTCACAGGCGGGTGACTTAGAGACCAGGTCATTCGTAACCTGGAGACGTTCCCCTTCAGGAACTCGGGCTGCGTCGGAAAATGCTTTGGGAACGAGTATGCCCACGCGGCCAGACTTACAAATCCCTGCCTA